TCTCCTATATGACAGTTACTTACTATGATCTTTTTAAATCCTCAAAGCCACCCTGTAAGGTATGTATTATTACCACTGGCAGGTCATCGGACCTATCTGGGACTCAGTTCCTTATTAGTAAACTAGATGGTAACATGCTTGCAGGGCTATTGCATGGATCAAACATAATCTAAGCAAAACACATGTCTATTAGAGTTGCAAAGATGGAAAATACGTGGCACATCACGTTAAAGAAAACTGTAGTGTTGGTGTTGCTACTAATGGTGATCATCTTATGGCTTGAATTGAAACAGAGCACTTTGGTGGAGCAGTGACATGGAATATAGAGTGACAAGGCAATGTTCGTAGTGTTGTAATAAGGAAGAACTTCAATAATGTCCTATAGCATTTTATAATAGTAGAATCATTTTACTAATCACAAATGTATAACATTCCCTGATTGTTTTAAATACTACTGCTTTCGGATTTAAATGAAGTAGAGTCAAATAAGATTTATCATTATCCAGGTCTTTTTTTACTTTCTTTCTTTGATATGGAGTCTTGTCTCCTAGACTGTAGTGCAATGACACAAACAGCTCACTGCTGCCTCAAACTCCTCACTTGGCTCAAGTGGTCCTCCCATACCAGCCTCCTGAGTAGCTGGGACTACAGGCATGCACCACCATGCCTGGCTAATTTTTAAAATTCTTTTTTATAGAGACAGGATCTCACTATGTTGCCCAGGCTTGCCTCGAACTCCTGGACTGAAGCAACCCTCCTGCCTTGATCTCCCAAAGTGCTGGGATTACAGATGTGAGCTACTGTACCTGGCCTCATCCTAATCTTCTTAGATTGATGTGAAGATGGGAGTAGATTGTTTCCAAGTTTAGAATAAACTAATAATGACAGCGTGCTTGAACAGGCTGTATCTAATTCTGAGCTAACTGCTGGATATGATTCTCATTGAGTCCAGGAGTTAGGATCCACTATTACTCCTTTGACAGATGAAGGGACTAAGATTGATACACTCACAACTTGCAAAACTAGAAAATTTTATATTTCTCTTCCATAAGGTTGTTCTCTTTTCTTTGCCCTTTTTTTAAACTAAGAAATATTTCAAATGTTGAAAAATATCATAGAGTATCCTCCACCTAGATTTCATAAATGTTAACAAATTTGGATTTTTTTTTCAGATCCTTCGTTTAAAAGGAATCAAGTTACCAATACAGTTGAAACCTGTTTTCTACCTCTCCACAATCCATTTTTTTCTTTCTGTGCAGATGTAACCAGTGTTCTGAGATTGCTTTAAACTTACTCTGTAAGTATGCATATCAAAAATCCTACCATATGGTTTGTGTGATTTTGAATTTACAAAAGTGGTATTATTTTCTTCCATATTCAGGTTTATCCTTTTATTTATTTCTCCCATCTTTTTGAGGTAAATTTTAGTTTATTAATTTTCAGCCTTTCTCATTTTCTAATGTATAAACTTAAGGCCATGCATCACCCTCTAAGTGCTAGTTTAGCTGCATTTTGCAAGTTTTGAAATAGTGCCTTAAAGTTTCCAAAATAGAGACCATTACTGTGTTACTGAGCTCCAGTTCTGTTGCATATGAGTTGTAGCATTGTCTATAGAATATCAACTTTTTGTTATTTATTGAGACTTCACTTTGACTCATTTCCTGGTTGATATTTTTTTAAATGTATTGTATTGACTTGAAAAGAAGACGTAGCCTTCCTTTGCTGGGAATAGAATTCTACATAGTTCATTAGCGCACACTTATTAACCATTCAAAAGTACTGTTATTACTAGTGTTTTAATCTGCTTGATAGATCTGTTTTTGAAAGAAGAATGTTTTTAAAAACCCACTAGGATTGTGATTTTATAGATTTCTCCTTGCATTTCTGTCAGCTTAGCTTTATGTAGTTTAGGGTTTTATTGCTTTATATAGTTTGGCCAAAAGACCATATTTATCCTTAATAATAATTTTCTCTGCAAGTCTATTTTATCAAACATTAATATAATAGAACCAATTCTTTTTGGGTTACTTTTTTTCTTCTATTCCCTTTTTGACTTAACTAGGTTGTTGTGTTTTAGTTGATTCTGGTATATTTTTAAATATCCAATTGACAATAGAAGTTAGCAGGGAAGTTTGTCATGTTTATCTCTGTTGTGATTACTTACATTTTTGTGATTTTCTAACATTTTCTATTAAAGTTGTTATATTTGTTCTTTTTTTCTCCTTATTTGCTTTCTATTGGATTCAGTGATTTTTGTTATCCTCTCTCCTCATTTTCTCTCCATTATTTAGAAACTTATATGTTTTCTTTCTTTTAATGGTTACTATTAAATATCACATGCATATTTATCTTAATTAAATAATATAGTAACCATAGATCACTTCAATATATCTCCTTCTATCATATATATTATTGTTGATTAGTTTTTGAGTTATGCCTTGTCTATAAACTCTCCCCAAATTTGTTATAACATATTGACTATTATCTACTGTGATCTGAATGTGTCCTCCAAGTTTCATATATTGGAAATGTAATCCTCAATGTAACAGTGCAGGGAGGTGAAGCCTCTGGGAACTGTTTAGGTCATGAGGGATCTGCCCACATTAATGGATTGATGCCAGTATAAAAGGCGTAAGGAGGGAGTTCACCCCATTTTTCCCTTCTGCCTTCTGCCATGTGAGAACCGTTTCTCCCCTCTGGAAGATAAATTTTTCAATGTGCCATTTTGGAAGGAGAGACTAGGCCTTCACCTGCCAGTACCTTGATCTTGAACTTGTCAGCCTATAGAACTGTGAGAAAATAAATTTATGTTCTTTATAAATTACCCAGTCTCAGGAATTCTGTTATGGCAGCACAAAATGGACTATTTTTTATTAATGGACACATTATATATTTGGCTTTGCCACTTACTATCTGTACTACCTAGTGAGTTTTTTAAGTGTGAGATGCTTAGTTTCCCCATGTATATACTTGGGGTTATAATAGAATCTAATTATAAGTTTATTTTGATAATTAGATGAGCTACATCAGTTCCTGGCATATGACTGCTCAGTGAATTTTAGCTGTTATTATTTAGTTAGTACTTAGACTAGATTGTCAACATGTTCAGTGATGTTTTTATGAACTATTATTTCTTTCTCTTTCTTCCTGAAGTAGGACTCATAGTAGTTCCTTTAATAGAGTTCTGTGAGTAATAAACTTTCAGTTTTATTTGAAAACACCTTTACTTTGTTACATCTTTGAAGGATGTTAGTTGAATGTGAAATTGTAGATGGCTGGGTTTTTTTTTCCCTAGAATTTGGAAGATATTATTTTATCTTTTCTGGCTCCTATAGTTGTTCTTGAGGAATCTAATTGTATCAGTAATTATCTGCATTTCCATCATGATTTGTTTGGGGACACTTTTTAAAAATATTTCCTTGTTCTTATTTTTTTTCTTCTTCAATCTGAGACCTGAGAGCTCTTATGTTTTTTTTTTTAATTCAGTAATGTCATAAGCTATTATTGCCTCAAATATTGCCTTCCCATATTCTGTCCTCTCCTCTGGAATCCATTCAGAATAAATCTATTATTTTGTTTCCTGTGTCTCTCAGTCTCACTCTCAGGTTTCCATCTCTTCAACTGGCTTTATAAGTTTCTGGGTGATTTTCTCAGATTCATCCTTTCAGTTTATAGTATTTCTCTTCAGTTATGTTTTTAATTCTACTTAATCCTTCCATTTAGTTTTTTTAACCTGATGCTTCGCATTTGCAGAAGACAAGAATAGAAATATCAGGACAATGACCTGACTGTGGCACTCTTGGCATAGAATCATGAGGGAGGGGGTAAGGAGAACAATTAATTGCATGCTCTGATCCTCAATCAGTTTACCATCAAGTTTTTTTTTTTTTTTTTTAATGCTTTAAGTTCTAGGGTACCTGTATGGATTGTACAGGTTTGTTACATAGGTATACACATGCCATGGTGGTTTGCTGCATCCATCATCTACATTAGATATTTCTCCTAATGTTATCCCTCACCAGTCCCCCAACCCCTGCTAGCCTTCCCTTAACCTCCCATCTCCCAACAGGCCCCGGTGTGTGATGTTCTCCTACCTCTGCCCATGTGTTCTCATTGTTCAACCCCCACTTATGAGTGAGAACATGTGGTGTTTCGTTTTCGGTTCTTGGGTCAGTTTGCTGAGAATGATGGTTTCCAGCTTCATCCATGTCCCTGCAAAGGACATTAACTCATATTTTTTATGGCTGCATAGTATTCCATGGTGTATATATGCCATATTTTCTTTATCCAGTCTATCTTTGATGGGCATTTGGATTGCTTCCAAGTTTTTCCTATTGTAAACAGTGCCACAATGAACATATGTGTGCATGTGTCTTTATAATAGAATGATTTATAATCCTTTGGGTATATACCCAGTAATGGGATTGCTGGGTCAAATGGAATTTCTATTTCTAGATCCTTGAGGAATTGCCACACTGTCTTCTGCAATGGTTGAACTAATTTACACTCCCACCAACAGTGTAAAAGTGTTCCTGTTTCTCCACATCCTCTCCAGCATCTGTTGTCTCCAGATTTTTTAATGATCGCCATTCTAACTGGTGTGAGATGGTATCTTAATGTGGTTTTGATTTGCAATTCTCTAATGACCAGTGATGATGTACATTTTTTCATATGTTTGTTGGCTGCATAAATGTCTTCTTTCAAGAAGTGTCTGTTCATATTCTTTGCCCATATTTTGATGGGGTTGTTTGTTTTTTTCTTGTAAATTTAAGATGTTTTTTAGATTCTGGATATTAGCCCTTTGTCAGATGGATAGATTTCAAAAATTTTTTCCCATTATGTTGGCTGCTGGTTCACTCTAAAGGTTGTTTCTTTTGCTGTGCAGAATATCTTAAGTTAAATTAGATCCCATTTGTCTATTTTGCTTTTGTTGCCATTGCTTTCGGTATTTTAGTCATGAAGTCCTTGCCTATGCCTATGTCCTGAATGGTATCGCCTAGGTTTTCTTTGAGGGTTTTTTTGGTGGTAGGTCTTATGTTTAAATCTTTAATCCATCTGGAGTTAATTTTTGTATAAGGTGTAAGGAAGGGGTCCAGTTTCAGCTTTCTGCACGTGGCTAGCTAGTTCTCCCAACATCATTTATGAAACAGAGATTTTAGCCTTTTGTGTGTGTTTTCAAAGACATAAAAAACAAAACAGCATATAAAGTTGTTAAATAATAATGTATCTCCAAATTTTGCTTTTCACAAAAATTTATAACAACCATACTGTAATTTATCATAAAATGACCAGTGTCACTGTACCAAATTGATATTCTTATAACTAAGCGAAAAGAAATTAAATTTGCCAATTTAGTTTATTTGGGGGACTATCTCACCCATAAAGGTATAATTTTTCTATGTTTTTTGAATACTTGAAACTGGTTCATAGAGTCCCTTTCATGATCATAGGTTTGTAAACACTGGGATAACATTACTGTTTGCATCTCTAGAAAGTGGGAGTCATTCTTGCCTACCTCCTTTTGTTCAGTGTTTAGCTACTGCTGGCTGGTCCAGAAACTGCCATCTACAGCCTCTGCTCCTTCCCTTCTTGACCCAAGTTGCAACATCTACAGAAGATGAAGATGTAGTTTGTAAATGGTCCAGGAGTGGGTGTTGATTAGCTTTTAGAGGATGTTGCTTGGACTAGCACAAGGAGTATCATACACAACTATCTTGTTGTCACCCTTGACAAATGACCCTGATTTTCATATCAGATCAGAAAATTTGATCAGACCGTCAAAGCAAATGTGTTCTTTTATGGTTTATTAGTGATTCTTCCCAGCTTTGGTAAATGCAATTTATATAATCAGCTTTCAAAGATTTTCACTATGGGTTTTTGTATATTTATTCTTGCAGAATAATGCCTTAGAAAATTTTATACAGACTTTTCTTGGCAATTATTAAGCAGTTTTCCCCTTTTTCCACTCTCAAACCCCAATACCCAGCATGAAGAGGAAACAAATCTCGATTTCCAAATCTAAGCCACTCATGACACATCTGGCTGGGCTTACTCTGAAACTGGACTATCACTGAAGGACAGTAGGCAGAACACTAGTCACTGGAGAGCCTGAGGAGACCATGGGAGGGGGAATCAGGAAGCCATCAAGAGATGCAGCCCTCTTGCTGCTTTATGTAGTTAGAGAGAGAGCATATTTTTAGAAAGGACTTTGCTAGGAGGATAAACAACACAGTTCTATTATTTGGACTTTTGAATCACACGTCTAGCCCTTAAACTTACCTAATAAACCCCTATGTACTATTCTTTTTCCATAAGGAAAAAAGGGCATTAGGTGAGGGAGGGATGGGTATATTAATGAATATACTTAGGATTGCTATATTGAAATCTGGGGAATATTGATACAGAGACCAAAATGGGGAGTGAGTGATGTTGATCATTGTTGGTTAGTGCCCCTGGATGAAGCAAGGAGTAGGTCCCTGAATGGGTACAGGTAGGAATCATGTAGGAAATGGACACATGTGCATCCTTCAAATCCCTCCATGGGGCTGCTGCCTACTGCTTGTATTAAAAGGCATTTTATGTTGCATCTACTTGAAGATGCCTAAATATGCTATATATTCACCTCTCCTCATTCAACATATGTCCATCTATTATATACTTCCTTGTCATAACTGAGCTCTTAAAGCATGATTTTTAATCTGCGCATGCCCACATCCAATGCAAAGTAAAAACCCATAGTGTCTTTCAGGTTTAGAACTGACCACAGTCAAGTGCTTTAGGACAGGAAAGTGAGAGGGCCAGAGGGAAGCTTCGCTTTGGGGAGTAGAAGAGCCAACCTACAGAGGCCTTTGGTCTCCCACAGAAACACGGAAATAATAAGGAAATGTAACTAAGACTAAAGAGAAAGGAAAGAAGAGAGAGAGAAGTTAAGAAACACAGCCAAGTAGAAGCAGAGCCTGCTCGGGGAAGCACAGATGAGTTAGAGGAGTGACATTTGGGGTGCATGTCAGAAAATCAGATGGAAAGTCCATGTTTGTCTGTTTTGTCTGGTCACCATAATTATTCTGGCTCTGAGTTTCAACTTTTGTTAATCATACAGCCTTTGTTTAAATATCTAATAGTTTTGCTTTTGTCCTTCCTTGGCTCCATCTTAAACATCACATTAATGATAGCTCAGAGAACTTTTAACCTAGGCAATCTTCATGTGAGCTCCCTTCAGTTCCTTTTGATATACAGGTATTTAAAGTGATAGTTCTTTCCTCTTATGGAAGACAGATCTTATTTAATAATTTTTTTAAGCGGAGAGATTAGTTGTGGTCACAGTGGCAAATTTTTCATAATTCTCCAAGTACTATAAAAAGTAACTTAATGGCATAATGTGAATTCCCATGATGAGAGTCATCCTGTCACTGTGAATTGCCATAATAATCTTTGAAGTGATATATCTTTCCACACTGTCTGTCAGCAACTATGTAGGGTCTGTTTTAGATTCAAAAATATGTGAGATTCGTTTATCTATATCCAAGGAATTCAGACATTTTTTGTTGTTGTTTTTGGATCTGGTCACTATTTGCTAGTTCAGTTGTGGGGTAGTTTTCTTATGTTTATCTGTCATGAAATTTTATATTCATAGGCAATTTTTACATGCTCTTTTTTTCTTACCCTTCGCTTGATGAAGGGAGGTTATAGAAGAAAAATAACCTTTTATCTTTTCTCAGTGACATTAACTTCATTGCATTTAACTTTTTCATACATTGCATACGTACTAATTTACAGAAGCCTTATTTCTAAAAAATGTAATATATATGACTTAAGACTGATCAGCATCTTCTCCTGCCTACTAAATGCATATTCAGAGCTTTTATTTTGTTTTCTTTTTGTATCTTCCAGACTGGGAAAAAATGTACTATTTGTAAGCAGATGATTTAATTTCAATAAATGTCTTTTTATTTCTCTCTCCCTTTGATTTATCGCTTGGAAACCATGAGAAACATCCAAGTGCAGATGCTGTTTTCCAGCTTTGACAAAACATTGCTTGTTGACCTTACAAACTTAGAAAGATTTATCCCCTGTGATTCAATGGTGGAAGTAATAATATTAGCAGTTAAAATCTTCTAAGGCACGATCAGGAAAAGGAAACTTTGGTCATTCTGCTTCTTGTTAAGAACAGCTAGCAATTTAAAAAGCAGACACTTGCAAAGGGGGGAGGAGATGAAGATGATCAAAGAAAATGCCTCCTCCGTTAGTTGAATATGAACTGAGGATGATGCATAGTAATAATAAAATCAGACTCTTAGAAGCTTTCCCTTGATTAGTGTGTATATGTTCTTATTTTTATTTAGTCTTCAAAGATGACTTTTCTTAGGTATTTATTCTCTTTGAAGGAAATACGTCTTGATCAAAATATTTTTTGCCAAATACTTGTTGTATATAAAAGCCAGTGAGAGATGTCATATTTGCTGTGGCTATGTTGAGACTCTGACAAGATTATCCGCTGTGTGAGTGATGTCTGTGAGAGTGACCTCTAGCCATGCCTTCTGCACATTGATTCCACTCATCTGCCGGGAGGCAGAGGTGAGTCCTGTCATTCTGAGGGCTTCCCATTAGAAGCCAGGCCCTCTGCAGTCTCTAGAACTGAGGAACTAAATGAGACTGCCACATTGACCATTAAGTTTCTTGATTGTGAGGAAGCATCTTTAAGAGGAAATGATTCTGCAGACAGAAATATGCGTGACCAGTTTTACAGGATGTGATGTCATCTGACTGGTGGAGCTTGTCTTTCTACCAAAGGCTTGTACAGCAGAAAGAGAAAGAAATGGGCATGTTTCAGGTCAGTTCTGAATAATGGAAGAAAGAATGAAAGAAAGGAGAGGAGAGGTGAGGAAAAGAAGGAAAAAAATGGAAAAAGGAAAAGGAGCATGTGAGCTGGATTTCTTCATACCCCACCAACCTGGACAGTGAGTCCTGGGAGCAAAATAATAGTGAGCCTCAGCATCTAACATCAAACCACCCATACTTCCTTCTGGTTTAAGAAATTCTGGTTTCTCAGCTGTGATAAGATTAATAGGACATATTCCTATTTGTTCTTTGTGTTATTGGTTCTCTTCTCCTCCTGAACCTTTAGCCAGAAATAGAGATGCACCCTTTCTTCTTCAGTAGCTTTGAGGATCAAAGTGTCTTAGTTGCCAGAGCTGGGAGGGGATCTCAAAGATTGTCTAGTAGAACAATCTGTTGTTCATATGAAAACACTGAAACCCAGAGAGAATGTGGCCTATGCAAGGACATGGTCCATAGTCTGTGTCAGAAGCCAGGTTTTCCGACTAGTGGCCTGGGCTCTCTGTAGTATTTCAGGCCAGCAAAATCCCATTTCTCTCCAGACACATTTTCTCTTGCACCAAATGGGCCTCCTTGCTGTGTCCTCCTCAAACCACCCTCACTCCCACCTCTGAACCTTCGATGATGTTCATGCCCTCACAGAGTGCCCTCCTCCTCCAGCTCCTCTGCTCAGCACATCACCTCCCCTAATGCTCAGCCTGATCTCATTTCCAAAGCTAAGGCACTGCTCCTCTTCAAGCCCAAATTGACCTCTCCTCTCCCTGGACCCCTTCAGGTCTTTTTTCATTCCCTGCTTTATGTTTGATCTTAATTTCTCAACCAGATTATACTTTCCCAAGCCCGTGTTTTTATCTTCTCCATAGCAGTACTTCCAGCACCTACTGCTAGGCTGGGTGCTTTTGTCTACTTCAGTGTTCTCATCTGTTCAGTATCAATAATAATACCTGCTCTAAATCTAAGCCTAGTGGACTCTCAGCTTGTTGATGGGCAGGTTGAATAGTCTTATGTTCTGGAATTTTGAGCTTTTGGGCAGCCAAAAGAAGGGATCAGGAGGCCTAGGCACACAGAACTCAAATGCAGTTATTTGGGTCTTCCTCTAAATTAGCCTCCAATGGTCAAGTGTTTTAGCACCTGCACCAGCAGCCATTTCCATTTATCCCTACTTCCTGGAGACAGTACAAGCAAGAGATAATTCCTATCATTGTTGGGGTGGAAATCTCCCAAAGCCCTTGCCAATATTATAGCTTTCAGGTTCACAGTTTCCTCTGAAACTTCGCCTATAGGAGGGATAGAAACCACAGGATGGGCATTATGGTAAATGCTCAGCATAAATATCTGTGGACTGGGTGGCAGGTGACCCCTAGGAAAGCCTCAGGTAACCTATAAGGTCCTAATAAGGGTCAGTTATTCTAAGCAAAGGAACTTCTGTGAGTCATAGTACAATCTATAGACATGCTTTCTAGCTCCTTTTTTAAACCCTTCCTGAATCAATTAGATTCAAATAGATTCTAATTACCTCTAGAATCAATTAGAATATACTCAGTCTTTTCCCATCCTAGTTTGTATTCACCATATTCAACCCTCAGCTGACTTAAGGCAGAGTAGAAAGAGGTTCTACTTGGTAGAAAGAGGTTCTTAGACACATGCATCCAGGCAGTGTGGCAATGTAGAAAGCCCTAGACTGAAAGTATAAAGTCCCAGGTTCGAGGCCTGACTCTGCCACCTGCTGTCTCAAAAACTGCAATAGTATAAAGCCTCTTACCAATTCTAGCTTCAGTCTTCTGGTTTGTAAAATGTGAGTAATAATAATGCCTCCCATGCTGGGCATAATGGCTCACACCCCTAATCCCAGCACTTTGGGAGGCTGAGGTGGGCCAATCACTCTAGGGCAGGAGTTCGAGACCAGTGTGGTCAACATGGTGAAGACCCGTCTCTACTAAACATACAAAAATTAGCCGGGCATGGTGGCAGGTGCTTGTAGTCCCAGCTACTCGGGAGGCTGAGGCCCAAGGATCGCTTGAACCCAGGAGGTGGAGCTTGCAGTGAGCCAAGATTGCACCACTGCATTCCAGCCTGGGCAACAGAATGCGAGTTTGTCTCAATAATAATAATGCCTTCCCTCCATCTAGCCATTCTTTGTACATATAACTATTTAACATTTCCTTCCCTGCTACATTGTCAGCTGCATAAGGGCAGGGTCTATGTGTATCTTGTTTACCCCTGTATTCCCAGAATCCTAATAGAACATGTACTGTATTAACTGGTTGGTTGACTGAGCAATAGGGAGAAGTTTAAAGCAAGTACAATCTATTATTATGATCCTTATTATGCTTGATGTTGTTGTTATGGCTCCCTAGAGTTTGGTGGATTTTAGTTTGAATTTCCATTTTCCACTCTCCATCATTGAGAAGGAACCAAGCCAAAAGACCCATAGTGGGTCAGCAGAGAGCAACCACTCACCATGGTCATAAGTAACTTCAGAGTTCATGGTATCTCTGCAGATTCTTCCCTCGTCTCAGTACTTGGTGCACAAAGTGGATGGCTTCCATCTTACACAGATCTATTCTATATCCCTTGATGGGTGTGTGGCAGCAGTCATCAACAGCAAGGTGATCTTCTCTGCTTATCATCACTGGCCCTTTCTTCTATAATTTTCTTCTTTGATTTTTGATGTATGAGTATTTTTAGTGACAAAGATAAGTTTCCAGTGGTATTGTACTACATGTGGCTTCTGTCTGAGGATGCACTTGTGTCTTGATCTAGACTGTCCAAGAGAGCTCTCATTTTAAAGCCCTTCTTACAGGCCAGCTTTGAAGGACTAAGGAAAAAGCAGGGCCTTTGGCATCAGACAGGTCTACTTTTGGAATCCCACATAGTTGACAATCTAGCTACGTGGGACAATGTAGCTACAAGGAAGGAGATGTTAAAGAAATAATTTTATGTGTGAAGAATGCCTAGATATAGGGCAGATATTATTATTTTCATTTAACATGAGAAAAACTGAGTCTGACAGAAGCAAGAAGCTTTGCTCAAAGTTTTTGAGACAGTGACACAGAGGAGGTGTCTCTCCTTATTGTATAATAGGGACAATACTAATGCCATCTTCAAGGAATGTTGTAATTAATCAGTAAGAAAATGTATGTGAAGTAAATGAGCAAAGAGTCTGGCCATAGTATTGATTAGTAGTAATACTATTAATAAGTATTTAATAAAGGAGAGTCTCCACCACTTTCTTCCCTTTCACTCTCTTTTCCATAAATTAACCAGAGATAAAAGTGGCAGAATTAAACTTCAGCCCTGTAATGGTGCACTTGAAGTGCTTCCTCTCAATTCATATCCATCTTCCAGATTGCTTGTTGTACCCACATTTTCTGTTAACACAAATTGGAGGGAGTATCATGACTTTCAGTTGTTGACAGAGACACAAATAGGCAGAACGCAATGATGAATGTCTCGGTTCAGGCAGGAATTGAATGTTGCCTGTGGGGTAGGCAGGCTCTGCCACCTGCACTGACAATACATCATCCCTGGAAATTAACCCATCTTCACCATAGGCATTGAAATGGAAATAAGTGCTTGTTCATTGAAAACACCTTCAAATGGCAAGGATGAAGGCCTAGCACAGTGTATATGGTACATTCACATCTATAATCATGTTCAGTTTGCATTAGTCTAACTCTGCCATTTGGAAACGGTTTTAAGATAGTGTGTTGCTTGAATTGGTTTGTGTATGCATTATTTGTTTCTTGAATAAGAGCTGAACAGAAGCTAATAACTTTATATAAAATATAATGATTACCAAATTCAAGAGTCAATGTCCTGTTTCACATTCATTCTTGCTCACTTTTAGTACAAGCTTGCACATCATCAGGCATATTGTATACAAAAATAATGATGTGAGTCCTGTCTTTACAGGTCTAATGAGTGATAGTTCTATGTTTCTGTAAATTTTAAAAACATCATTACTCACGAAAATATAGATCATTTTAATTTAAAGTGATTAGATATATGTATGAATAGGCTTCATGTTGACAAATGTTTTCTTTGTTAAGGATGTTAATCCTAATGTAGTCTTTACTATTAAATCTGCTAATTCAAATAATATCTATCAGTAAGTAGATGAGCTAAACACTAAGCCTGTATGTCAAATTTTATACAAGATATTATGCTTAGATGCATACTTGGCAAAACCAATATTTAACAATATTTTGGTATAGAAACAAATGATTAATGCTTTTCATCAAGTTAACATATTCAGGTTTTATAATTATGTATTATTTCATAGTATATCAACAAGGAGAAGAGAAACTAGTTATTTCAGACAGCAAGTGACTTAATTTAGGGAAATAGATCCTATAACAGAAAGTTAATTGGGACGCTGTGATAGTCTTGGCTGAAGGACTGTGAAGGGGAGGAAGGTATTAATCTCCCAGGGCCAAATTGCTTAAGAGCTCATGTGCTTCTTTCCACCCTCACTTTCCCTGGAAGCAACTTTGGAAGCTATATGTTGAAATAGAAAATAAAAATATGGATGAATCCTGGTCATCTGTGTCACCAGATAAAGGAGATCTCTTGCCAATTTGCACTGGATTTTGCATGAGCAAAAAGTCACCTTTTACTGGGATAAGCCACAGAGATTTCAGTTTTGTCTACTGAGGCAGCTAGGCTTAATTACCATAAAAATACTAGGGCCTGGAAAAATGTTGGAAGGCTTCAGAGAGGGAAGATCAGATTGCAACTACTAGTATGCAGAAAATCATGAAGCACAGGAACTACAGGAAACTGTCACCAATGATCTCAGCTGTCTACAGCACCAGAGTGATTGATTAGTAGGAAGATACTTGGAAACTGTTAGCGAGAGCTCACATCTGGGGTCTACCCAAGTCTATGTGACTACCTGTCTCAAAAGAGTAATAATACTTCTATTTATCTTTTGTCTTTGAAACCTTACATGAATGAGTCTAAAATTGTCTTAATTTAAACCATAACCCTGCTGGCGGAGATTCTAAGAAATGTAGTTCTCATGCTTTCAATCCCTATAATATTAGGGAGAATATAGAAGGAGAAAATGGTGTCAAATTGCCAAAAAAGAACCTGGCATATAGAAGTAGCCCAATTATTAGGGTAATGACATGTCCCAGTTTGCCTGGGACAGTCTCAATTTGCTCCTGTTGATCTAGAGTAATTTTTGATAGTAGTCTGTTTCCATCTCAAAATGTTCCCTGCTTGGACACTAAGTTATATGGCCGTAGACCTATTATTAACATGATAAAATACTTTATTTCATCAAGAAACACTTATTCAGGATATGCTAAGTGCTAATCATTGTGTGGGACATTGATCAACAAAGGCACTTATGATCTTGTCATTCATGAAACATAGAGTCATGTCTAGTGAATGATGGGAGGCTAAACAAGGCAATAGCTATGAGGATGGAGCAGAGGAGCATACTTGAAAGAAGTTGAAGGATTAAATCATACAGGTCTTGGTAACTAGCATTCTGGTTAAGACCCTTAGGCTCTTAAGTCAGACTGTCTAGGTTTGAACACCAGCTCCACCACTTGTTGGGTATCTTAACTTGGGAATTTACCAACTAATCTCTGCCTCAACTTACAACTCTGTTAAATGGGAATTATAATACTTGTAAGATTGTTGTGAAAGTTAAATGAGATAAAAGTTGATAAAGTTTATAAGAGGGCCTAAAATATAGTAAATGCTCAACAAATATTTATCATTACAATGAAGAAGTTGTTGTTGTTGTTTTAAATGGCTGAATATGAGTGAAGTGTTGAGAAAATCCCAGGTTTCTGACTTGAGTATCTTGATGGGTGGTTATGTAAAATGATAAATGCAGAGGAAGCTGATTTATGTTGGGGAAATAATACGTATAGTTTGGATGGATTGCTAGAAGAGTAAACAGAGGAACTGGCCTTCCAATTTAAGTGGGGGAAATAATGCATTTGGTTTGATTATGCTGAGTTTGAAGGACCTATGGGAAATCCAAATGGCAATGTCTGATAGCAGCTGGTTAGTTACATTTGGGGCTCGGACCTGAGCTGAAATTTAGACTTGTGAATTTCTTTTTTAAAAAACTTTTAAGTTTAGGGGTAAAAGTACAGGTTTGTTACGTAGGTAAACTTGTGTCATGGGGATATGTGATACAGATTATTTCATCATCCAAATATTAAGCCTAGTATCCATTAGTTGTATTTCCCAATCCTCTCCCTCTTTCCACCGTCTCACACCAGTCAAAATGGCTATTATTAAAAAGTCAAAAGACTTGTGACTTTCTAGATGGTGGTTGAAGGCAAGGAGATTTGGGAGATGAATTAGAGAAAGTATTCAGAAAGGGCAGAGGAAAAGAAGCACAAGAGAAAGACAAGAGGGAATTGCCAGACCAGTAGAAGAGAAGTAGGCAAGTGATGTGAAGGAAGGCGAGGAAGGAGAGAAAGCCAGAAAGAAAAGGGTAGACAGTGGTGTTAAGAGCCAAGCACAAATCAACAAGATGAGACCAGAAATGATTTCTACAGATTCAGCAATTGGGGGCTTTTGGTGACTTTAGTAAGAATAGATTCAGTGGAGTAGGGAAGATGGAAGTCTTCTCAGATCACCAAGGGTAGAGGTAAGAATGAGAAGAGAGTACATTTAGATCATGAAATGCTATCTTCAGAGCACTTCGCTGCAAAGGAAAGGAAAGGGTCAGCTGATGGCTAGAAGCTTTTTAAAAGCAGAGCCTACAAGATCCTTTGGTCCTAGAGTTGCACAAAGGATTTGCAGACCAGGAAACATTTAGATTACATGACCTTCAAAGTCTTTCCCATTTCAAAGTGTTTATTATTCCATGATTCTCTACTTAATAAGTACCAAAGTTCAGCTTCTATTTTCACAGGTTGTTACCTACAAAGAGGGTATAAAATCTATTTTATCCAACAAATTTAAGTTAGAATTTAATTTGATCTTACAAGCCTTTAGGGAAATACATTTTAGGGGTCATATGTACATAGTGTATTTATGAATACTGTTCTTAATTTTTTAATTCAGTTCTTTTACAAGTTATCTTATAATTGGTTACTTTTTTCAGCCAGTTTCTTGTGCTTATATACGCAATTTGTCTATTTTTTTATGTCTGTTTTCAGCTTCTCCCAAAGAATTATCATTAGGTCGTAACATTGGAGGACGTTTACTGAATGATCATTCTTTTCAAAGACTTTAACATTTCCGCCAGAGCCTTGGTTGGTTTATTGACTAGAGCAAAGCAGTTAGTTTGCTGTTAGTGGAATGAGGTAAGCAAAGCATCTGGAAATGTTCTACCAGGAGGAGCCAGTGGCCTTGTTTTTGAAAAGTCCCAGGTCTCCCATCACTCCCTCCAGTCTTGCTAGGGCATGAGAGAATCAGAATTTATAACTGCGTCATAATTCTGTACTACAGCCTTTCATCTGGGATCTTCTGTTTGGAAAGTCTCTTCAAATGTTTTCTTAGCCTCAAGGGAAAAATTTCTCCCAGAGATATCTCAATTTTGATTAAAAGCATTCACAAGTCCACTTTTAGTTTTTTCTTTACCAATTAAAGTCCTCTTAGCTTTGTAGATTAAAGCTCATAAAATTGGTTCCACTGGTTTATTAGAAAACTCACCTTAGCTACCAGAGTCTAAGTTTTTTTGTAGACAGACCCTAGAGAGCTAGGAAAACTTATTTTCCTCCAAAGAATTAAAGTCCTATTATTTAATTTTCCTCTGATTTTGGCCAAGTTCAGATTTTTGCTGACTTTGTTATGTAACATGGCCTATTCATTTCATCTATAAATTGTTCTCTTTTGTTTCCATTTAATTAGAAACTAACAAATTGTTGCTATCATTTTATATGCTTTCATGTATTTATTTAAAGCCTTTTACAATTATGATATTTAAATATTCCATTTTTAAATTCCAAATAACATTAGTTGAGAGATGTACCTTTGATATAAAAATAAAGATTTTCAAGAGAAAAATTTATTGAAAAACTTCTAAATGAATGTATACATTGATCATAAGACCATTCTAATTCTAGAAACATTAAATGTGAAAAAACATACTTTTGGAATTGAAGTGATATGACATTAATGGTCATTTCACTTGACTTGAGGCTTTTCATGTGCGGGATTCATCATTACTTCATATGTATCCATCTAATCTTCATTAAGCCACTCAGCTCACAGTTACTGAGAACAATATTAAGTCTTAAGCTCTTTTGCTAAACAATGGGCAATGAAGACTACATGGTGAGAGTTAGCATCTACATTTGTAAAATGAGCCATTTGTTGTATGTCTTAACCTTTTAAAAGATTCGGCATTTTTCTCTAAGTAGTTTGAAATCTAACTTGA